GCATCATTTGGCATAAACACGCTGCTGGTTGAGAAGTATATTACCCAACCCAGACATATAGAAGTCCAGGTAATATTCAAGGATTTCAGTACTGCTTCAGTCATTTTCTAAACATATACTTGCAGTTGCAGTAGCCATCTGCTTTTTTTTTGTGTGTGACACCATTTCAATGGGTGAAGATATTTGGAGATCAACATGGAAATGTGATTCACCTTTATGAGAGAGATTGTAGTCTACAAAGAAGGCACCAAAAGATTATCGAGGAAGCTCCAGCTGTAAGGCTCCATTACCTATGCCCTAGGGTTTGTTTTGAATAAAATAAAACCTCAAGCTTTCCATTTATGTACGCTCTGCAGCCAAATGTGACAGCTCAGTTTCGGTCTCATATTGGTGAAGCTGCTGTATCAGCTGCAAAGGTGACATGCTTGATAATTCTACTGAATATCGTGCTCTGTGATTTTACAGATGAATTTCATTATTCCAGTTTCTGTTCATTATTGTTGTTTATATCTTGTGCACATGGTCACTTATTGGATTCTTTGCGTTGAAGGCAGTTGGTTACTACAGTGCTGGAACAGTGGAGTTTATCGTGGATACTCTTTCCGGAGAATTCTATTTCATGGAAATGAATACTCGGCTCCAGGTACTTTATTTCTGATGATGATCTAAGGTATTTGAATACGTTGCATTTTTTATATGCTGTGCGATCACATGCTGGGTCCATATTGTAAATGTTATCTGAACAATTGACTTTGAGCCTAGGTTTTTGTAAGCTCTACTTGAGATGGGGTTGTATTTTTTGATGCATGCGACTACCTGCCTGAACAAAAGAGATTCTCACCATGAGAAAAATTGCCTAACTTGTGAAACAAAAACTCTCCAAATCTTCAAGTACCAGAAATATAAATCAAGATCTGAAAACTAGCACATATATATATTAGATTTTTTTTCTTTATCTGGATAGCCTGTTAACCGCATTAAGCTTCAGTACAAATTGGATGTGGTCATCTCAAATATTAAAATACTTTACATGGTGAATCGATATTTGAAGGTTGAACACCCAGTGACCGAGATGATCGTTGGCCAAGATCTTGTTGAGTGGCAAATACGAATTGCAAATGGAGAGTGCCTACCATTATCTCAGGAGCAGGTTCCGTTAAATGGTAATACTTCTTAGGGCAGTCATGATTCATCCAGATGTCTTTATAGATGATTTCTTAGTACCATGTTTTATCTCTTTGTCAGGGCATTGAATTCCTTTTGTTTGCTTTTTGAACAATAACATGGGTGATAAAAAATACTTCTCTTGGTACATGAACTGGTAGATTGGATGTCTAGATGAATGTCAGTTAGTTATTCTAATGTTCTTAGACAATATGGTTAACTATCAGTGTTCATTGATTCAGGACATGCGTTTGAAGCCCGAATATACGCAGAAAATGTGCCAAGGGGATTTCTTCCTGCTACAGGAACCTTACACCACTACAGGCCAGTTCCCTCTACCGCAACAGGTAAATTTAGGAGACACCCTGCAGCATAATTTATTACCAGCTATATATCAGTATGTCATTTGACGTATTCTTTATTAGTAAGAGTTGAAACTGGAGTTGAAGAAGGAGATACTGTCAGCATGCATTATGATCCCATGATAGCCAAACTTGTGGTTTGGGGTGAAAGTCGCAATGCTGCGCTAGTCAAGCTAAAGAACAGCCTGTCAAACTTTCAGGTATATAAACCCCCACATTTACTCAAATTTGATTGAATATGATGTAGTTTTCCTAATCATCGGGGGTGGTTTCTTGTCCTATGCCCTTGGTCCTGTGCCAACTTACTTCAACAAGCTTAGTTATTGGCTTTAGTAATTTTGTTTACCAACCATAGAAAACTCAATGGTATATGTTAAAAATTGGTGTACCTTTTTTTGTTGTTACTTATTAAATGCCCCCTACCTTGGAGATAATCAATTGCGAAGAAATGGTTTATTGAACTTCGAAATGAAGAATCTTTATCTGATCATTTTGATAGTTCACTGCTTGTCATATTGTGGTTAATGGATAAACAGATTGCAGGTTTGCCGACCAATGTTGGTTTCCTCCAAGAACTCGCAGGTCATAGTGCCTTTGAAAAAGGCCTAGTCGATACACATTTCATTGAACGCTATCAAAATGATCTTCTGAGTACTTCTACTCAAGCCTTGAGTGGATCACATGAAGCAGAAGAGCTTGGTGCAATTTTGGCTGCTGCCTGCATTTGCAAGAAGGATCATGTTTCCTCTGAAGTGTCACTTCGTATGTTATGTGGCTGTCCTTTAATTTTGTCATGCAACATTTTGCTCGTATGGACTGATAATGACATAATTTTGTTGGCAGATGATAAGAAACTTTCTATGTGGTACGCCCATCCACCTTTCAGGATGCATCATTTTGCCAAGCGTCTAATGGAATTTGAGTTGGATAGAGAACTTGGTGGATCAAGTGATGATCTTCTTAAACTGTCGGTAACATATAGATCTGACGGAACCTACTTCGTTGAGGTGATCTCACACATCCCATATTAGCAGTTCCGATGAATATCCTTGGTTGGCATTGAACAATACACTATTGACTATCCTTGACCAGTTCATGAAGTCCTATTAATGGTGTTTGGACTTGTGACCAGACTGAAGATGGTTCTTCTCCTGGATTGGATGTCAAAGTAGATAGCAGAGGTGACCATGATTTCCGGGTTGATGTTGGTGGGCTGCAAACAGACGTAACTCTAGCATTTTATTCAAAGGTAAATTTGATACTTCACTATGGTGGTAGTGAGCATATTCATCAGTTACTTCTGACTGTAATACCCTCCTTAAATTTCTTTCCTCTGCTTCTTTCAGGACAATTGCAACCATATACACATCTGGCATGGGAAGCATCATCATCATTACAGGCAGACGTTGAGAGCTGAGCAGTCACCTGATGACAGTTCTCAACCTAGCGCTTCCTCTGAGGCGAGGTCACATCCAAAGGGGAGTGTTTTGGCACCAATGGCTGGTCTGGTTGTAAAGGTTTTGCTTAAAGACGGGGCACGGGTGGAGGAAGGTCAGCCTGTCATGGTTATGGAAGCAATGAAGATGGAGGTCTGAATGAATGAACTTGCTGGTGGCACTGGTAATTCATAAAAAAATTGAGAAAACTGTTAAAACTCACTATATTTTTCTCCTCTTTTCTCAGCATGTTGTGAAGGCGCCTTGTGCCGGATATGTGGAAGGGCTGAAGGCTACTGCCGGACAACAAGTTTTTGACTCTAGTGTCCTTTTCACCGTGAAGGTACGTCACAATTATTGATCATATCGTGGAATTTTTCAGTTTGCTCACCTTTGTTACAAGGAGGTATATGCTCAGTGCAAGTTTCACCATCATTAATCTTTTCCCAGCAGAAAACATTCTTGTTGAAAGATTTCCGAACACATTAGAAGATGATATGTTTATGGTTGCTTTTACGCCATTACTCGTCTGAACTCGAAAAAATTTCCCTTTTGCAGGAGAACAAGCCAAATTGAGAAACCCAGGCAGAGATTCACGACCTGTACAGCTCAATTCACAGACGCTTCATAAGTTGGCTGATGATGCTGCCGGCCGTCCAAAAGCAAGCAAATAATAAGCGACAACATCGAGTTCACAACACAAAAGCAAGCAAAAATAAGCAACGGGTTCATCTGTGTGAATAAATTAGTTGACGAGCTCCCAACCCACCCCCTGTTGTTGTTGTCGCAAACCTGAAACTGTACAGTGTACATTACTGCTGTCACATACAGTGACAAAAACAATTAAACCTCATTTGTTCTTCCATTGCCCTGAAAGTTGGAATAACCGTGAAAATTGGAATAATCCCAGTAATGAACGAACTAACCTGACACTGACAGTGAAAACTAAAGCAACTGAGGTCTTGTTTGGCATAGCTCCGGGATCAAAGATTTTTTTGGAGCTGAGTATTTCTAGCTACACAACAAATCCATGGATCATGATAATATTTGGACGAATTATTTTATTCATATTTTTAATAAAATATAAAATTTGCAAGCACTATATTTTAACTTACAAACTTCAGATCTAGGATTTGGGATCTTGGAGTTGTGAATTTGTGATAAACATAACCTGAATTTGTGTAAAACGGGGCCGCAAGTAGTCTTGTTCCAGCCCATGTGAAACAGACCGTACATAGGGGTCGTAATAACAAGTACAACCTTTTGACATACAAAATCTAACGGCGGGTTAAAAATGAGATGTGCTAAAATTTAGTAGATTTTTTAGGGCTTGTTCACTTTGATGCTATTTTTAACCTTACCAAATTTGGGTAAAGTTGCCAAAAAAAGTGGCTATATTTAGTTTGCTGCCAAATTTTGGTACTATATAAGAAATTCTGCCAATGCCAAAATTTTGGCAACTATGCCAAAATTTTGGTAATGCCAAAATTTGGTAAGATTTTTTTGGCATCAAAGTGAATAGGCCCTTAGCTAATAAAAATACAATTTTGCTATATATTTGTCGACAAATTTTCCACCAAAAATTTGACAGATGTCGTAGTGTAATTACACTGTAACTATAATGTAACTTGTACGTAACTTTCAAAAATATCTCCGTAACATGTTATTTCGGTAAAATAGAGGTTGTGGGAACAAATTCTTTCACATATACGTGTGTTGTGATTGTTTTTTCTTCCTCACCAAAATAAATCCTGTAATAGATCTAACGATTCAAAATTACATGAAACTTACATATAAGTTACACTGTAGTTACATGCAAATTACAGTGTAATTACATACAAATTACAGTGTAATTACACTACAATTGTACTATAATTACATTTGTCAAATTTTTAGGAGAAAATTTGTCGACAAATATATAGGTGGTCACATAAAAATATTTAAGAGCTGAGATGGGTTGTAAAAGGGCCCATGGGCCCTGGCCCATTACCACCACCCATGCTTGCCGGGCTTCCGGCCCACCTACGTAAGCCCCACCACGCCGCCACCGCCACCACCGCAACCGTCTCCGCTTCCTCCTCCTCCTCCCCGTCGTGTTCGCGCGCGACTTCCGTGACCCACCTCCGCCGCCTCTCGACTCCTCCACTCTATATCTCGAGCCCTAGAAAAACCCTAGCTCCAGCCACTATCTCCACTAGCCTACGTCCAAGGTCGTCTTCGTCGTCGTCTCCGTCTCGAGCGGCCGGGCGCGATCGATGGCGTCGAGCTGCACCATGGTGCCGGCGGATTTGGTGGAGGAGAAGGCGGCGGCGGCGGCGGTGGAGGAGGATGCGGGGAGTTACCTGCGCGCCGACCAGGTGGATCTCATGAGCCTGGACTTCGAGATCGAGGAGAGGATGGCCGACAGGTTCCGCAAGCTCAACAGCGGCGGCGTGGAGCGCGGCGACGAGGGGCCCAAGGCCGCGTGGGAGATCGACCTCTCCAAGCTGGAGATCGGCCACGTCGTCGAGCACGGCGACCACGGCACGCTCTTCCGCGGGAAGTACTACAGCCAGGACGTCGCAGGTAGAGGAGGATCTCATTCTCATCGATCGATCGATCCCATCCTCTTTGTTAAACCCTAAACCTCTGCATGCTGCATACTAATTGCATACGGTGTTTTGGGCTGATTGAGTCGATAGAACCTTTGTTATCCATATATGCATGTTCTGATCTGGTAGATGAGATTGTGTGATGTTGTTTTCTTTTAATAGTTCGTTACACCATGCTACTATCTTTAATTGGAATTGGGATCCCATGGCCGTGTTCTTTTTAGAACGGTTCTGCCATGAACATTCTTAAATTCGACGGGGAGTTGTTTCATGTTGCATTGATATAGGTTGGAAGTTGGAAGTTGGAAACCTATATGTGGATAAACCAATAATGTTTTTGTATGGTGGTCTATGATCGACGTCGAACATCCTTGAATTCAACAGAAAATCGCTTCATGAAAACAATTAACTCCAATGGTTAGGTTCTCAAATTTTCGTCGTTGTTGAGACCCTTTGCTATATATGAAAGCCGTATGAATGGTAGTGTCATGTATTTCAGTTTTGGTTATCAATCCTACCACGTTTTATATATGTATTTAGATTAAACGAATGAGAACCATGTGCATGGATTTGAGTTACTTGCACAGTATTATATAATTTTATCATGTTTTTACATATTTATTAAAAAAGAAATTAGTGATCATAATCTTATTTGGAGATCTTGACGATGTTGAAGATGACATGTTTTATTGCTACCAGAGGAAGTAGCTAATCTACTTCTTTCTAATGGTATGTGTAGTGAAACTGTTGGATTGGGGCGCAGAGGGCGATTCATCTGAAGACCAAATAGCTCATTTTAGAACATCACTTAAGGAGGTGGTTGCTGTTTGGCATGAGTTCAACCATCCGAATATCACAAAGGTGATCATCTCTCTGTTCCTAGTTGCAGCAATCCAATCCATACTGTGATTTTCTTTGCAATGGCATTGGCATTGTCAGCTGTGCAGAACTAAGATACTGTTATCCATTCGTGCACCTGCTCTTTACATGTAATTAGGTGATATTATATGCCTTCTAAGGGATTTCGTTGTTTTGATTCTTTTGATCCGTTGCAAAATTGTTAAAATAGTGCTGCTCTGTTTTATTTCTTGAAGTTCATCGGCGCATCGATGGGTACAACAAACCTTAATATTCCAAAAGATATTCCAGACCACAGTTCCAGGAAGGGTGCACGCACTGATCTGCCTGACAGAGCATGCTGTGTTGTGGTAGAATATCTCACTGGGGGCACATTGAAACAGCATCTCATAAAGCATTACAGGAAGAACAAGAAGCTTCTATATGAAGAGGTGGTTCGGCTTGCATTGGATTTGGCCAGAGGGTAATTCAGCAAGTTCGCTATGCTTCTCTCTCTTCTGAATCTGACGTTTATTAAGCGTTCGTTCCATCGTATCTCTTGTTTCAGATTGAGCTTCCTGCACTCAAAAAAGATTGTGCATCGGGATGTCAAAAGTGAGAACATGCTACTTGACCCACAGCTGAACCTTAAGATTGCTGATTTTGGTGTTGCTCGTCTCGTTGAGGCTCAGGATCCCAAGGATTTGACACGCACGACTGGAACACTTGGTTACATGGCCCCAGAGGTAATTATACACAACTCACAACCCAGATTTTACAGTATCCTCTCCTGTATTCTGTGAATTCCTTTCTCCACGTCAAATTCAAAAATTTCTTAGATAACGTGTCAACACCATGATTATTGCATTTAAAATGATTCTCTCTTAATTATTTGAAACTCCATCATACTTCAGGTGCTTGATGGAAAGCCATACAACAGAAAGTGCGATGTTTACAGTTTCGGCATCTGCCTATGGGAGACATACTGCTGTGATATGCCCTATGGACCCTACTCAGACCTCAGCTTTGCAGACTTCTCATCGTTTGTTGTCCATAAGGTATCATCAAGCAAACTTGTCTCACCTCATTTCGTCATATGATCATTTGCGTTCTTTTGGTCAGACTTTGCGAAGAAACTCTGGATCATAGTAGTTTCTCCTATACCCTGCATTGCCTCATATGATCATTTGTGTTCTTTTGGTCAGAATTTGCGAAGAATCAACAAAACTACTCTTGGATCACAGTAGTTTCTCCTATACCCTGCATTTCATCATATTTGATCATTTATGTTTGTGTTGTTTTGGACAGAATTTGCGACCGGAGATCCCGGACTGCTGCCCGAGCGCAATGGCGAGCATCATGCGGAGATGCTGGGACGCCAACCCGGAGGTCCGGCCCGAGATGGAGGAGGTGGTGCGCCTCCTCGAGTCCCTGGACACGAGCAATGGCGGCGGCATGTTGCTGGAGAAGAAGAAGAAGAAGCATCCCGGCGGTGGATGCTTCTGCTTCTTCGTACCCCGCGCCGCGTAGGAACCATCCATTCACGTCAATGCTTCCATCTTAATCAGAATCATGTGCTCCTCTTCCTGTGTAAACTTGATTAGGCAGTTTAGGAGTATTATTGTTGGATCCTGGCACCAACAAAAAGCAAGCGTCACGTCAGTGTGTTTAGTTGTCTTTGTTTTTTTTTCTTCTTCCACGAGATAGATGAGAATTAGATTAGCTACGGTTTCCTTGCTTTGAGATATTAGCATTGAAGCAAGGATTGGTAATTTGGATCCATGAATGGTGTTGGGATATTGGCATTAAAGCAAGGATTGGTGAGTTGGATCCATGAAAGGTATTGGTTGATTGATTTCCACGTGGAATATTTTAGCTTAGTACTCCCTTCATTTCCTATTACATTTTGACTATTTTTTTTAACTCGTAACCTTTAAGCTTAACTAAATTTATATGAAAAAACATAGCAATATTTTCAACCCAAAGTAGCATTTTATTAGTTCGCCGCAGCCACAACTTTGCTCTTTTCTAAGCCTGTTACAAATTACAATGCATGGGTATTTTAATATTAATTAAATTTATTAAAACTAAATTATTGTTGTAGATGTTGTTAAATTTTTTGGTAATTTTACTATTCTTGGAAAGTACCGAGAGATACTACATTTCTAGTGTAAAATTAGGTACATCCAGGTACAAATTAGGTACCTTCAACTTCTAGGTATAAGGTATCTCGAGATATCAAAATTTTTATTGTAAAATCTTGGTACATCTACATACTTTCTCAAGTATCATAAAATTTCTCTAAATTTTTTTTATAGAGTTAATCAAACTTAGAGATGTTTGACTAAAAGTTTCAAGGTTTAGTGGCGATTGGTTTTGTTATAACAAATGGTTATTTTATATCTCCTTTTTTTTTAAGATCGGGAAAGATTGCATTCAAGTTCGTTTTGTAATCCATTGACATGAACGACTTGGCAAAAGCTCCCATGACCTGGCAAAGGCTAAACTGAAGGGGTTCGGATAATTAGTTTCCGACCCCCACACACCCAGATGAACTATACTCAACATGTCAATTGATCCTCTTACTCTGCATCTGCATCTCCAGAAAAATCAAGAACGCAATGCTATGTAGCTGCTGCTGCTGTGTGCTGTGTGCGCCTTGAAACAGCTGTGTTTAACTGCATGCTGAAGCATTCTAGCTATCTCATTCATTTCAGAAGTTATGTACAGATCAATGTACTGAAGAACCTGCTAACTGAAGCTTCAGTCAGATTTCAGAACTCTGTTCGTAATTAGTTTATTGTGCTGTTCTTCCTTTGCCGCCATTGCCCTAGTAAGCCAAAATTCAAGGCTAAAGAGAAGGGTAGAAAGAAAAGCAACCTAAAAAAGTATCGTGGGCCTGATTGGGCCATGTAATGAGAACGGGCTTGGCGCATGCTTGTAATGAGAGGGAAGGGAGTGAGTGTGCGCCCGTGGAGAGGAGAGAATATAAACTCTTTTAGGTTTCAAAAAAGAATATAAACTCTTTCGTGGCATCTATTTTCGGACATCGAATAGGAACCTGATGGCGAAGGCGGTGGCGGCTCGGTCCGATTGGACGCAAGAGATTATCAAATTGGTTCCTGAGTTCATCCTGTTCTTGAGAGTGTTCTTGAGCTGTTCTTGAGAGTGTTCTTGAGTTGGGAGTTGTAGAGCGTTCGTAACATACATACAGTGATGCCAGTTCCACAATCTTTAGGGAAATATATTAATTTACGTAAAATCTAAATCGAGAGCGCTCTCGATTTAGTCATAATGAGCGACCCTATCATCCAAATCAGCCATGGTCCAGATATGTCTTGAAGAATCTTACTTTACTATAGTACCAATTGATCAAGCAAGTAGAACAAATATTGCTATCATCTATGCTTCAAATAAAATTTTCTCTTAAATTACTCATCCGATTTATAATCCGATTACACCGTTGTGTTCGTAACAATTAAATCTTTACAACAAGATCTTACATGATTATGTTTTAATAAAAATCATAAATTACTTTTATAATATATCTAAATTACTTTTAGATTTCACTAAGTTACTTCTTAAATATATAAAAGTAAATTCAATAAAGTTTTAAAGTAATTAACATATATTATAGAAATTACTTTCTTTTTGTTATAAGTTACTTCTATAATATATGTAAATTACTTTTAGGTTATATTAAATTACTTTTATATGTCTAAAAAGTAACTTAGTGAAATCTAAAAGTAATTTATATTTTTTCATCAAAATATAATCATGTGAGATCTTGTTATAAAGATTTAATTGTTACGAACACAACGGTGTAATCGGATTGTAAATCGGATGAATAGTTTAAGAGAAAATTGTATTTGAAGTGTAGGTGGATAGTGTTTATCATAGATGGAGTGGTAGCTACCACTAGCTATGTAGCCATGTCCATTAATTTGCTCTTTTCACAAATATTCATCATCCTTAATATGGGACGTTGGGAGTAGCTTATATCTATCAAACTTACTTAACTTTCATTTTCAAACTTTAGAATATTTGATTACGAATTATTTTTAAAATATTTATCTTTCAAATATGGTGACTACACGTATATATTAGTCTTAAAAAGTATTTTCATAAAAGTATATATTTGTAACACTTTTATACATATTATAATAAAAAATAATAGTCAAAGTTATTTTTTGGAGACCGTGTCCTTGTCTAAAACGACAAGTATTATCAACCCAGAGGGAGTATTACACTAGGAAAAAGTGCCCCAACTCTGTTCAATCTGGCAAAGAGGAAGAATACACGAATCCATTGCCTGAGTTATTTTCCCAACTTTCCCAACTCACTTCCCTCGTGTTCCGTGCGCACGCTTTTCAAACTGATAAACAATGCATTTTTTACAAAAAGTTTATATACGCAAGTTATTTAAAAAAATCATATTGATACATTTTTGGAAAAAAAAGCTAATATTTAATTAATCACGCACTAATGGATCTCATCGTTTTCCGTGCGCTGGAAATATGTTCCCAACACTATACATATCACCTAACAAAATAATAAAAAGTTAAAAAAAGTAAGATAGATTAATATGAGATATATCATTCCATAAACATTCAAATATGAATTTAACTCCTATAATTTATATTATATATATATATAGTGAGACTATTCTACACCCCCTATAGAATAACTATTCTGTATCCCTCCCCCTACATCCCTCTCCCCTCCGGTCCCGCACCCTACGTCTCCTGTGCGCGCTCCTCCTTTTTTTTTTCTGGCGCCCTCCCCACCCTGCTCGATCTCTCTTCTCCCCTTTTTTTTCCTCCCCTCCCCCCTTTTTCTGGCGCCCTCCCCTCCCTGCTCGATCTCCCTTCTCCCCTCCCCTCCCCTCCCCTTTTTCTTCTAGCGCCTCCCCCACCCTGCTCGATCTCTCTTCTCCCCTTTTTTTTCCTCCCCTCCCCTCCCCTCCCTGCTCGATCTCCCTTGTCCCCTCCCCTCCCCTTTCTCTTGTTTTCTTGGCTTTTTTTCTCTTCCTCTTTTCTCTCATTTTTTTTGGAAATAAACATTTTTTTCTTCTCTTTTCTAGAAAAATTAAAAATAATTTGGTGAATTCAAGATTTGAACACATGAGCTCATGGTTCATGAAAAGCTCTCCTAACCCATTCAACATATGACATTGTGTGATTAGATATCATTATGTTACTATAATTCGGTAGTAACGTTATAGAAGAAGTGAAGTAACATGATACGTTACTGCAAAATTTATAGTCTGTTACTGCACTTCTGGCATGGCTGTAGAAGTGCAGTAACATGATATGTTACTGCAAAACTTGTAGCCTGTTACTGCACTTCTGGCATGACTATTTTTTGACGCCGTTACTGTGGAAATTAGTCATGTTACTACATATTGACTATCGTGTTACTACACCGTTCCTACGAGACGAAAACTGAAAAGAGATAACTCTCTATCTTTAGAGAGCAATCTCTCTCAGATCATATCTTGTTTTTCTAATCCGTTTACACTATAGTGCTCGTAAAAAAGTGCCTAATGATATTAGATCCATCATGACTATTTTTTGACGTCATTACTGCGGAAAGCAGTCGTATTACTACACGTTGACCATCATGTTACTACGCCGTTCCTGCAAAACGAAAACTGAATTACTGTACAAAAGTGGAAGTGTTACTGCATGACAGTTACACGTTACTACATGTTTATGCAGTAACACTATCCAAAAATGCAGTAAGATGCATTGTTACTGAACTTATAGTGTTTCTAGCACTCTTACAGTAACATCGCTATGCGATTGTAGTAACGTACAACAGACATGTAGTAACAAGTAATAGTATAGCATTACTACTTGTGGAGAGTCAAATTACAAAAAGTCAAGCTTTGAAGAACAATATCTCCCAAGTGATGTAAAGTTTTTCAAAACCGTTTACACCATGATGTTAGAAAAAAAGTGCTTATTAAAAGTAGATCCGTCATGACTATATTTCAACTATATTTGAACGTTGTTACTACACATAAGACACAGTGTTACTGCACATTGGTTGTCGTGTTACTGCACGTTCTGTGGGATGAGAGCTGAGAAGAGGTGGGTGGTGGGGGGAGTTAGTAGGCGGGTTTGACCGGTGGGAGGGGGCTTTGACCGGCCTTTTACAGAGGTGGGAGGTGGGTTTTGGGCCTTGGTAAGGAGGGGGAGGTGGGTGTGACCCTTGGGAGGGAGGGGGGTATAGAATAGCTTCTATACCCGGGTGTAGAATAGTTTTTCTATTTTATATATATATATATATATATATATATATATATATATATAATGTTAGTTTAGTTTATTCATACCATCAGAAAAAGACAACTGTATAACATATGCACACAAAAGAAAATTGTTGCCGCCCGGTCAATTTTTTTTATTCATTGTCCCATGGAAAAGGCTGAAATTAAACCCAAATTTTAGCTTTGACGTTTTCCACTCCATTCTTCACAAACAGTGCTCACTGGTTTAATTTCTAAGAAGTGAATGTTTCACCCTATAGCTAGCCAATGACGGCAAAGAAGAAAATAAATTGGGCTATGGATAGAGCCGAATACTACGATCGATTGCAATGTTTCAGAGCCAATATTGTTTCTTCCTCCATTACGTTCCTTCCCTAGGAACATCCGCCACTAATGGCGCGACCTTGGATTGTATAATAATGGCCAATGAACCAATACAAGCCCACTGGATAATGTCTTGAAAGCACACTTCAAAATGGCAGCTAGTAGCCTATTACCATCAGAGAATTTCGTGTATTGCGAGAGCACACAATTCTCCATTAGCAAACCAAACTTATATATACTTTGTAGTATAGCAAAACAGAGTTATTGTGAATTTGTATACGTGTCGAGCAACCCCTACTTTATGTATTGATGAACTGAGTACAATGGTGTGGAGAAATGCTAATATATAACATAGATGGCTATGGACAGTGGCGAAGCCAAAAATTTCTCAAAAGTATGGCATAATTGATGTAATTTTTATAGCTTGTCTCCTTTCTACTGGATTTTTAAGATTTGGAGTGTTTTTTAATAGGTGTTTAGGATCAGGACTTAGGGTTCTAGCCCTAGCTACCCTACTCTTGGTTCCGCCCCTGGGTGGTGACGAGATTGTGATCTTGACGATGTGATCAACGGTTTCCCTTTGCCTTTTGCATTGACTGAATTAGCCGCACACCTACAAATACTCTCCTTTTCCATTTATCTAAATGGCTATTCGTATATTCTTTCCCATATTTATTTTTGAATATTCTCTTTTGTATTTGTATTTATGCTGGAATTCTTAATTTGTTTTTCCATCTCTCGTTTCAAAGGAGGCCTTAATTCCTTTTTCCGGCATTGCCTATAAATTAGTGTGAGCTTTCACTCTTTAGAAAACCTATATACGACAAACAGTTGTGAAGGATGGATGGAAAACGTCAGTGCTAACATTTGTGCTTTTGGTCTCTTTCAGGGGAGGCGAACTAAAAAATTTTCAGCGGCCGGACGGCATGAATAGTTTTGTTTATGTGCAGATGTCATATCAGCATGGTCTTTTTCTAGTGAATAGAAAATTTGATATAAGCCTGATTTATTTATTAAACAATAGTAGAATTTGTAAAGTGGACAAAGTGCAAAACTCCATACTCCTTGGAACTAAACAATACGAGTATGTAGCATACTTCATTGTGGGAGATAAGTGATCTCGTCCATCCGATTTACATTTTTTGGGCTTTAAATAGCTAGATTCATACATAATTATGTATGTGATTCGTATACATGTCTAAATTCATATGTATGTTAGTAAATATATACGGAAAGGATAGAGAGGCCAAAACATCTTATAACGTGGAATGAACCAAAGTAAAGAACTAAGAAGGCTGCAAAATTAATCCAGCTGGTAATGGAGGCAACTAGGCAGGGGAAAATTGGTGACTCCTCCAAATCTTGTCGCCACCTGTACGTGCTCTCACTTATATAGCCAGTACAGTGGCATATCACTTGTACATGAACTTCATTAATTTCCTAAGGTGATCGACATTGGCAATTTGGCATGCATGGCTCGTCGGCGCCACCACCAGCTGCTCGCCGTGCTCCTCGCCGCCGCCGCCGCCGTGGTCGCCGCCGCCGGTGCCCAAGAGGTACCCTACGCGCCGATTTCGAACACAGGCGGGTGCTCGTCGTGGAACAACTTCAGCGTCGGCAGCGGGTACCAGGTTAACCTCTTCAAGCTCCTCGGCAACCTCGCCGCGGGCGGCGCCGCCGCCGGCAGCGGCGGCTTCTACAGCGGCAGCTACGGCGCCCTCTCCGACATGGTGTTCGGCGTCGCCATGTGCTACGTCGACCGGCACTGGACCAAGTGCCGGAGGTGCCTGGACGCGGCGACCTCCGGCGCCGCCGCCTTCTGCCCGTACAGCCGGAGGGTGGACGTCATGTACGACGAGTGCGTGCTCCGCTACTCCGACGAGATCAACCTCTTCTCCTTCGCCGACTCCAGCGGGTGGTACGGTGAGTCGTGATCCAAATTTATTTGCACATAATAAAGGTCAACTTCTGGATCATTATCCTTTTAGAGTTTCCCCATCTTATATATATATATACTTCTCGTAAACCGCCGCTAAACGTTGTAACCTTATCATGATATAGTGAAGATATTTTGCTAGCTGGCGTCTATGGTGGTTTTTTCTCTCCTGCTTTAGAAGGGTTTTCCACGTTAAATGTCGTGTCTTTTGTGATTAATCTTTTTTATCGTTTGTGTCGTGGGAGAACGTCTACGTCGACGACATGGCGAGCATGAACGCGACGCGGTGGGAGGTGTTCACCGGGCTCGCGGCGGAGGTGACGGCGGCGTCGCCGCCAAGAAGCAGGAGTACACGGACTCGCGAGGCGAGTCGCTGACGGTGTACGGGATGGTGCAGTGCGGCCGCGGGTTGCTGCCGGAGGAGTGCAGCAAGTGCCTGAGGCACCAGCTGGGAGAGCTCACCACAGGGCTCCCCAACAACACCGCTGGTATCATCAGGGGTTACAGCTGCTACAGCAGATATGACATGGCTTCCTTCCCAATCCAAATCACCAGCCAGTCTTCTCCCCAAGGTATTTTCCTTTATTTTACCTGATATACCTACCTACTACTCCCACATTTTGTTTGTTTGTTCACTCAAATTTATTTAAGTTTGATCAAGTTTATAGGAAAACGTAACGGCGCATCAGTAGTACTAAATTAGTTTATGTTGGTATATCAAATCGTGCCGTCACACCTGATCACGTTATGTGTAACCTGTAACTACACCCGAGGACATGACGTTGACGTGGGAGAACGGGGCGAGTATAGATAGCCAAATGGGCCGCCCCCGGCACAACCCAGGCACAATCGAGCCTGGGCCGAGATCAGTCGGGCCAACACGTCGGGCCGGGTCGCGCCTACCCACGGGCTGCACGCACAGCACAATAAGTCTTGGGCGTGCTGGGTCGCCCGAAGGCATGAAAGTCCATCGTGCTTCTTCATAGAATAAATGTCTATGTTTAGTTTGTTGCCAAATTTGGTCAAGGGACCACCTATACATTTGGCGATAAATTTTCTCCTAAAAATTTGATAGATATAACTATAGTACAATCGTAGTGTAATTACACTGTAACTTATATGTAATTACACTGTAACTTGCATGTAACTACAGTGTAACTTGTATATAAGTTTCATGTAATTTTGAATCGTTAAATCTATTACAAGATTTGTTTTTGTGAGGAAGAAAAAAATCACAGCACACACATATGTGTAAGGATTTGTTCTCACAACCTCCATTTTACCGAAATAACATATTACAAAGAGATTTTTGAAAGTTACATATAAGTTACACTATAGTTACAGTGTAATTACATGTAAGTTACAGTGTAATTACACTACGATTGTACTGTAATTACATCTGTCAAATTTTTGGGAGAAAATTTGTCGATAAATATATAACAAAATCGTTTGGTCAATATATAATAAATAATGCCAAAATTTTGGCAATATTATTATCTTGCTAAAATTTTGGCTACAATCTGAACAGACCCTAAGTCTATTTTTTCTCCCTCATATCTTTGGGCTTTCTTATATAGATGAAAATAAGTCTATTTTAGCTCCCTCAACTATTTTTCTTGGACTATGCCTGCCGGGCCGGCCCACCGAGCCAAGGCATCGCCCCAGGCACAGCTCAACTGTTGATCCGGGCCGGCACGGGCCCGACATTAGTCGTGTCGTGCCGTGTTTGGGCTAGGCTAAATGGTCATGCCGTGCGCCGGACCGTCAGGTATCGGGTCTTATTGCCATATATAAGGGCGAGCATCTTTAAAGAAAATGGTATTCCCTCCATACTCATTTTAAATTCAAGGTTTTCTCATAGAGAGTTGTGTACATCTCCATTATTTGAGTTTTCAATTACTATATATTATTAGAAAACCTCAATTCAATGTAGTATTCTATATGCAGAAGCAGACGGTGCCTCGGCCGGTTCCCAATGGAGGCTATACATTCGGCGACAAGTGCTCGCCGGCGTGGCTGCCGGCTCCGCCGCGATCTTCCTTTGCCTGAGTCTTTCAGTCTGCTACATTCTTCACCGGCGCCGGCGGGACAGCAAGATCAGGCCGGTCAAGCTACCTTCCTCCTCCCGTGATGAATCCGTGGAACCCGACCTCGAGCACGGCGGCGGGCCGCGGCGCTTCTCCTACGGCGAGCTCGCCGCCGCCACCAACGACTTCTCCGACGACAGGAAGCTCGGAGAAGGTGGCTTCGGCTCCGTCTACCGTGGGTTCTTGGAGGGTCTGAACCTTCACGTCGCCGTCAAGAGGATCTCCCGGAGCTCCCAGCAAGGTTGGAAGGAGTTCGTCTCCGAGGTCAAGATCATCAGCCGCCTCCGCCACCGCAACCTCGTGCTGCTCATCGGCTGGTGCCATGAACCCGCCGCCTCCGCCGCCGGAGGCGACGGCGATGGCGACGGCGGCGGCGACAAACTCTTGCTTGTCTACGAGCTGATGTGCAACGGCAGCGTGGAGAGCCACCTGTACAACCGGGACACGCTGCTGCCATGGCCGGCCAGGTACGAGATCGTGCTCGGCATCGGCTCGGCGCTGCTGTACCTGCACCAGGAGACGGAGCAGCGCGTCGTCCACCGCGACATCAAGCCCAGCAACGTCATGCTCGACGCCTCGTTCAACGCCAAGCTCGGCGACTTCGGCCTCGCGAGGCTCATCGGCGACCGGAGGACGCCGTCGCAGACGACGGCGACGCCGACGACGCGGCTGGCGGGGACGATGGGGTACATGGACCCGGAGTGCATGGTGACCGGCAGGGCCAGCGTGGAGTCGGACGTGTACAGCTTCGGCGTCGCGCTCCTCGAGCTCGCCTGCGGCAGGTGCCCGGTCATGACGCGGCCGGACGGGAGCGCCGTGCACCTGGCGCAGCGGGTGCGGGAGCTGCACGACGCCGGGAGGGTCACCGCCGCCGCCGACGGACGGCTGAACGGAGGGTTCGACGGCGACGAGATGGAGCGCGTGCTGGTGGTCAGGCTGTGGTGCGCGCACCCCGACCGCGGCATGAGGCCGGCCATCAGGCAGGCCGTCAACGTGCTGCGGTTCGACGCACCGCTGCCGAGCCTCCCGCCCCCGGCGAAGATGCCGCCGCCGCCTGGAGCGCCGTCCCATTCGCGCTTGCCGCTGCTCGCCGCAGACCTGTTCCCCTCCCTGACTCGCCCGCCGCCGGCCGGAGCCACGCACGCTGCCGCTCGCCCAGCCGCTCCCGTCAACGCTAACAGCACACACATAGAGGATGGGAGGGCGCCTTCCGCCTCCCATCTTGAGGATGGCAACTCGATCAATCGATCCGTGTGTACGCGACGCGATGCTTTCAAAGCAGTTGTAATCAACGTATGTCGTCATGCGCCCGCCGCGACGGGGAAGCCGATGCCGCGGCACGTCGACGGGAACATGGCGAAGAGGAAGCTCCCCGCCGCGCCGGCCGCCATGGGCACCGCCGCGAGCAGCTGCCTCGTCGCCGGCGCCCGGCGACTCCACCGGGTAGAAGCACGCCACCGCGTTGCAGTCCACCATGGCCACGCCCAGGAACACCGCGAACGACAGCGCGCCGAGCCTGTACCTGTTGTCCCTCGGCGGCGGCGAGCCGGAGCCGTCGATGAGGCGGAGGCGGCTGCTGGGCGTGACGAAGTCGTAGCGCACGGCGCCCGTGCCGTCGCGGTAGCTGTCGGTGAAGGAGAGCAGGAAGCAGCAGAGTGCATAGGCGCCGACGAGGCAGGCGATGAGCGCACGGTTGGTGGCCGTGTAGCTGTCGTCCGCGGTGGAGGACGGCGAGAGCACCTCGAAGGCGAGCACGGCGCCGGTCGGGAGGTGCTTTGCGAGGTCGGCCGTGCTGTTCAGCGTCCTTGCAGACGAGGCTCGGCGTCGCCTGTGCCGGCGGTTGCGTCGTCTAGCCGTCGTCCGATGACGCGAGCAGCGGCGCCTTCGCCTCCGGGAACTCCTCGTCGCCGCCGCTTGGCCGCGACGCCATCACGAACAAGAACAATGACTAGCTTTGCTGACTGTACACCTTTGTGACACGCTGTACTGCCACATGGACATGGACTGGTCAAAACCGCGCCCTAACTCTGCTTAAGGGGGTTAACTCTCCGGTTTTAATAGTTGAAGGTGCATAATGTCCGGTTTTTTTTACTTTAGGGGGTTATTCGGACGACCACCATAGTTCAGGGGGGTAATCCGTAGTTTTTCCTATTATAAAAGTAGCTTAAAACAAAATGGAACTAACTTTGTCACGACATTAGAAGTAAATTCGTTGTAGGGATAAAAATATGACTTCACGTCCAATGAAAAAAGGCATTCATTAAAGTTACTTTCTTTTTATAAGTTACTTCTATAATATATGTAAATTACTTTTAGACTTTATTGAATTTACTTTTATATGTCTAAGAAGTAATTTAGGGAAATCTAAAAGTAATTTAGATATATGATAAAAGTAATTTATATTTTTTCATCAAAATATAATCATGTAAGATCTTGTTATAAAGATTTAATTGTTACGAACACAACGATACAATCGGATCGTAGATCGGATGAGTAGTTTAAGAGAAAATTACATTTAAAGTATAAGTGGATAGTATCTCTCTTAGATGGAGTGGAGCTACCACTAGCTGTATAGTCACGTCCAAAACCATTCCTTTTTCACCATGTCATCTGTCTCCTGACAGTTGGGAAGCAGAAATGTTATTTTTAACAAAAAAAAAATTGCACGCTAGGCACTTGGGTATAAGCCCAATCTCGTCCATCCTCCTCGGCTCGCTAACCTCAGCAATGGCGGCGCGCTGGTGATGCAGACCGGCGCCAGCGGGAGGTACAGCCTGTTGAGATTATAGACATATAATGATTTAATCTATTCCATAAATAAATCATGACATTACAGATGAAAACTAGCATGAACGCATCATTAGATCTATACATGTAAACTAAGCAGTAAAACACGAACAGATCAAATATGCGCAACATATTGAACACATACCGAGGTGACGGAAAGACCGGTTGCTTGGTCGAAACTTTTCGCAGGTGTCTACGAAGACACGAAACACGCGAGCGAAGAGGAAGGCGAGCCGTCGCGAACAAAACAGGGAGCAGTCGCGCGAAGCGCTTCCCAAAAACCTTATTGCCGCCTTCTCCCGGTGCAGGACGTCGAAGGCAGAGGTTCCGGAGACCTGCTCTCCCGATCGCCGGTGCACGCCGGCGAACGGGATGGAGTAGTCTACGAGCGACGGCGCAGTACAGAGTAGGAGGCAAACCCTAGATTGATTTCACACTTGTTGCGTGAAGACGGCAGGTCGGTTTATATAGAGAAGGGTCGCTTGATCAGGGCGCCCGCACGATCTCTACTGCGCGTAACCGAACCGGATAAGTCGCGCGTAACTTATCCGGACTCCACGCCGTTTGCACGCACCGGATTTTTCGGAACGTTTCCAAAACAAAAACGAATCCGAATTTGCAGCAAAACAAAACTGCAAAAGGAGGCTGCATCTGCGCAAGGGTAAGGAGCCAATTTTTCGGACCATTCGACGCGTACGTCTTGCACGCGCGCCGCCGGCCCGGCGAGGCGAGGCGAGGCGAGCGAGCGCGCGCGTGTGTTTCCCCTCTTCTCTCCACCACACATGCTTCAAGTGGCTAGGAGGACATCCTCCCTTTTAAGGAGGTCCTCCTCTCCTAGAATAAGCAAGGTGGTACTAAACTCCACAAGCATGCCATCCCATGAGGTGGGCTTTTGTGATTTTCCAAAGAATTAATCTTCGAGTGGGCTAAGGCCCATTCATTAATTCCAACAATCCCCCACCAAATCTCAAAATCCCACTGAGATTTGCCTTTTCCAATATACTGTTTATATACCAGCGGTTCGATGGAGACCAATTAAGGTTGAACATCCACCTAGAACTCCAAGCTACACTTACTCACAACTTGAACAATGGACTACGCCTTGAATTGCAAGTCTTGTGCAAGCAAGTTTCACTCAAAGTCTTATCTGGTACTAGACCGTCTGTAGACTACCCCTCGGGTGGAGCGTATAAGTCATACTCCTAGGTCTTTAATAAGCTTCCTAGAAGATTCACCCAAAATCTTCATAGACTGCGACCAACAGTCAAGCTCACAAAGGTGAGTTCTTTCAAGAATGCTCTGCAGGACAACATCTTCGCTAATTAAAGCCAACAGAACTCATTAAGGCATAGCCAACCTGCCTTGCAGCTCACGAGAGTATATGCATCTTCACTTGGAGAGGGTATATATATGGTACTCTCCTCTAGTTTATTAATGATTTGTTCTTCCCAGGATCTAATTCACGGGATCTCCGATCACATAGACTGGGTTACCACCATAGTATAACTCACATGGGTCTCAAACCCATCTCCTTCGATGCATTGTCTATCACATTTCGTGATAGTCCCTTCGTGAAAGGATCTGCCAGGTTTCTCGCTGTTTGGATGTAATCCAACGTTATAACTCCGGAGTTTCTTAATTTCCTGACAGACTTCAATCGTCTTTTCACATGTCTAGACGATTTCATATTATCCTTAGAACTATTCACTTTGACAATTACCGTTTGATTGTCACAGTTCATAAGGATAGCCGACACCGGTTTTTCAACAACAGGCAGATCCATTAATAGATCACGCAGCCATTCTGCCTCAACAGTAGCAGTATCCAGTGCCGTTAGCTCTGCTTCCATGGTTGACCTCGTCAAAATGGTCTGTTTGCAAGACCTCCATGAAACAGCACCACCACCCAGTGTGAAAACATATCCACTAGTGGCTTTGATCTCATCCACATCAGAGATCCAGTTAGAATCACTATAACCCTCCAGTACCGCAGGATACCCAGTATAGTGAAGCCCCAATTCCACAGTACCTTTCAGATAGCGCATTACTCGCTCAAGCGCACGCCAGTGATCATCTCCCGGATTAGAGGTAAATCGGCTCAACTTGCTCACAGCAAAGGAGATATCAGGCCTAGTTGCACTAGCCAGGTACATCAACGAGCCAATGATTTGGGAGTATTCCAGTTGATTCCTAGCAATTCTCTTGTTCTTGCGAAGCAACAAGCTAGGATCATAAGGTGTTGGAGAAGGCTTACTATCAATATAGCCAAAACGATTCAAGATCTTCTCCACATAATGGGACTGCAAGAGTGTAATCCCATTCTCACCTCTAATTAGCTTAATGTTTAAGATAACATCAGCTACTCCCAAATCCTTCATATCAAAATTTTGAGACAAGAATGATTTAACCTCATTTATCACCTCAAGATTTGTCTTAAATATCAGTATGTCGTCAACATACAAGCACAAAATAACTCCCTCACCCCTACCATGGCGATAGTACACACATTTATCTGCCTCATTGACTGCAAAGCCTGCAGATGTCAATGTTTTGTCAAATTTCTCATGCCATTGCTTAGGAGCTTGTTTCAGACCATACAAAGACTTCAACAATTTGCACACTTTGCCTTCTTGACCTTCAACTACAAAACCATCAGGTTGATACATATAGATCTCCTCATCCAGCTCTCCATTAAGAAAAGTTGTCTTAACGTCCATTTGATGAACGAGAAGACCATGTGAGGCTGCTAGGGAAAGTAGCACACGAATTGTGGTCAATCTAGCAACATGTGAGTAAGTGTCAAAGAAATCTTCGCCTTCTTTCTGAGTATAGCCCTTAGCAACAAGCCGAGCCTTGTACTTTTCAATAGTACCGTCAGGCCTAAGCTTCTTCTTGAACACCCACTTGCACCCCACAGGTTTACACCCATAGGGTCGCTCTGTCACCTCCCAAGTCCCGTTAGCGATAATGGAATCCATTTCACTACGGACAGCCTCCTTCCAGTAGTCTGCATCAGGAGATGCATATGCTTCTGAAATTGACTTAGGAGTGTCATCCACGAGGTACACAGTGAAATCATCACCAAAAGACTTAGCCGTCCTTTGTCTCTTACTCCTTCGAGGAGCTTCACTGACATCCTCCTCAGAGACAAGTTCATGTGTATGTTCAGTTTGTTCTGGTGGTGTGATTGAACTGGGAATTATTTCAGAGGGTTGGTTCGAACCACTATGTGTATCCTTCATTGGGAAAAAGCTCTCAAAGAAGGTAGCATCACGAGACTCCATAATTGTACCAACATGCATGTCCGGTACCTCAGATTTAACTATTGAAAATCTATAGGCAATGCTATGATGAGCATATCCCAGAAAAACACAGTCCACAGTCTTAGGTCCAAGTTTTCGCTTCTTCGTTATTGGTACATTGACTTTCGCCAAGCACCCCCATGTGCGCAAATAAGAAAGTGTTGGTTTTCTACCAATCCATATCTCATATGGTGTTTTGTCCTTATTTCTGTTAGGAACTCTGTTTAACACATGATTTGAGGTCAACAATGCCTCCCCCCACCATGCCTTAGGCAGTCCCGCGGTGTCCAACATGGCATTCACCAAGTCAGTCAGTGTGCGGTTCTTCCTTTCAGCAATCCCATTAGACTCGGGAGAATAGGGAGGCGTCCTCTCATGTATGATGCCATGTTCCTCACAGAATAAGTCAAACTCGTTCGAGAAAAACTCTCCACCACGATCAGACCTAAGCCTTTTTATCTTTCTGTCAAGTTGATTTTCAACTTCTGCCTTATAAATTTTAAAATAGTCTAGAGCCTCGTCTTTCGTTTTCAACAAGTACACATAGCAAAATCTAGTAGCATCATCAATCAATGTCATGAAATATCGTTTTCCACCCTTCGTCAACACCCCATTCATTTCACAAAGATCTGAATGTAAGAGTTCTAGTGGTGCCAAATTTCTCTCCTCGGCAGCCTTGTGAGGCTTGCGAGGTTGCTTCGATTGCACACAACTATGGCACTTAGAACCTTTGACAATAGAAAACTTAGGAATTAAACACATGCTGGAAAGCCGAGACATCAAGACAAAATTAATATGACATAAACGTGAATGCCAAACATTAGCCTCATCATCCACACTGCCACAAATATGGTTCACAGACTTATTGCAGAAATCAGAAAGGGAAAAG